TCCTTTACCTTCCTCTGTTTACCGACTGTTTACAGGTTGTAAAAACGGGTGTTTTAAAAAGTGATTACTGATGAGAATAAATTTACACTAATTTTCACTCTTTTTTCTCATTTATTTTTTAAAGATATGCAGCAAATGTGCTGTTAGTTTCACTCGATTAATCGGGAACTATCTGTTTCATTTTGGGAAAGGTGTAATGGTTAATTCCTAAAAGAGAACTTTACAAACATACATGCACAAACGATTTTCTTTTTGCATAGTTTTCAGGACTAACTTCCTTAATCATCGATTGCGTTGGTTAATTTTGAAATTTCTTGTATTTGTTGTTATCTTTTTTGTCTTTTGGTTTAAACATGCTGTTTGTTCAATATGTGGTGGTTTTGCATGGGATATACTCAAATTATTATGCTATTATGCGGTATAATCGATTGTAAGTTTTATAAAAGTTTCTATGTTTCTTTTACAATTTGCTTTTAAAAGGGTGTATTAAACATAAATTAAAAAAAATTATAAAATGTTGAAGAAAGATTTATAATAGCATTACAGAAGAAGAACACATATATCGACCAAAAAAAAAAGCCTCATTTTTTGAAGCACTTGGAGCGATTTCTTGAAGCACATTTTATTTTGATGTCGTTGTTTCTTTGCCTCTTCAGTGCTCTACTGGCTGACAGAAAAAAAAAAATAAAAAATAAAAAATAAATAAAACCAAGAAATTGATTAAACTGCTGAAGTTCTTGAAGAAGTGGCCAATTTTTTTTTGTCGTTCTCTGCTGCAAAATTCTGTTATCTTTTGTGATTGAACATTAATTTGCAAATTACATTTTCAAATAATCGGATAAATTTGTTATGACCAAATGAAGGCTTAGAAATTGACCAATAAATGAAAAAATAAAAAAAAAAAAGGAACAACCGATTTTTACTTGTTTGATACATTCGCTATAAAATAGTAGAAAAAAAAAAGAAATAAAACTGGCTGACGACAGTATCAATGATCTACCAGTATGAATAATGATAGTTGCCAACGTCTTCCAGCCAAAATTTAGACCGAACTATCTGCGCTTTTAAAAAAAATTTGTGACTTATTGACAAGTAAAAATATGCTTATTTTTATACATAAACTGGAAGTCAAATAACTTTTCATCTTTGCTGACCGCATCCAAAAAACTGTTAAAATTAAAATCAACCGAGGCACGAAGCAATATGAAGCCATTAAATTTTCTTCAGTTCACTTTCTGCGTGATAGAAATGTACTCAGATAGAGCTATAACGAAAAAACGCTGCGTAAGAAAATCAGTCTAAATCCTATTAATTTGACATGCCTGCCAACAATAAGGATTTTTTTCAAAAAGATCCGTTAATTGATCAAAATGCCTCAAAAAAGTTGACCAAGTTTCCGGTTTAAAAATGTTTTTTAACACTGAAATTAAAAATTTCTAGGTGTAAAGAACGCACTTCTTGATAAAAATAAATAAGTTTACACAATTTTACTCAAGTAAATTATGTTAAGCATTGTTTGTTTCAACCAATTCCTCTTATTTTTTCAATATCAGCCAATATTTTTTAAACTCTTAATTATAGTTTCAGTTGGTTCACAAATCTGGCAGTTTTCACTTCCACAAAAAAAGAAAAATCAAAATTAATCTATATCTTCTTCAGCCAACGTAACTTATTCCGTCCCGCTTGAAAATGAAGATCAACTAAAAATTTTCGTAAATAAATTAACACAGAGAAAATAAATTCAAAATTCCCAACCACCCCTTCTTAGTGGCGCTTCTAGTTTACTAAAGATTCAGAAGCTGATTAGAAACTTAGACATTGCAAAATTTCTGCGTTATCTCCGTTTGTGCAGAACAGCTGCAAAAAACAATATTTGTTACAACGGTACAGTCAAAACCCTTCACCAAAACACCTAAGAAAAAAAAAACAAAGAAATAATAGCAAAAAGAAAAACTCATAGAATTTTCTTGAGAACCAGTTTATATCCGTTAAAAGTTTATAAAGTGCTGAAAAAAGAAAAATTAAGCGTTAAGACTTACTGGTCGACGACGTTACAGTTATCCAAATCATTTTTACCTTATATTATAGATACAACTTGATAGCTCACTCGTCCAAACCATTTTGCTCTGAAATCACCAAAAACGAAAAGAAGACAAGAGAAGATTAATTTTATAATCAAACTCCTAAATCTACCGTGGACAAACAGTAAGAACTCTCATATGAATTATAAAACTGTTTGTTAAATTATATTCAGAACAATAAAAACAAATGAGCAAAAGAAATTTTTTTTTTCTTATTATTTTCAGAGATTTACCAAAATATTTTGCCGCTTTGTCAGTGGTTCCCAACAAAAACTTCGGTAGCACCTACCTGTTATTTCGTCGTCCTGAAATAATGGTAAACTGACGCCTCTTGTTGTTCGCAACATTCCCAGTTGTCTTTTCAATTCACTGAACATACGGTATAGCAGCAACTGGTCGCTTTGAAAAGAGAGATTAAATGTCTAAATATTTGCCAGTTTCATCTATAAAAAAAATAAAACAAAAACGCTAGTAAAAAACAAAATAAATAAATTGAACAAAAACCCCTTTCT